TTAAGATTGGTTGGCGCATCAAGTGATTTCCGGAATAAATATTGGGTGTAATGGTGAAAAAAAATTCATTGCAACGGTAATATCACATCAATATTGTCATGTAATATCACCGACTAATAATATATAAACAAATATAAAATAGACTCTACACAAGTCAATAATTATCTATCCATGTAAATCAATCTATAACATAAAACAGTAAATGCTTCAATAAACTTATCCGACGATCTCAAATAGACTCATTCAATTATCACAAACATCCTTCTCAAAACTATTCAAATTTAATTCTTCATTCAAATCTATCACTTCTCACTTGCGTTGCACCATAACTTCAAGCATGTGTTATCTCTAGTAACTATCAAAATAGAGTTTACTTTGCCCATTTAAAGTTTTATTATTGATTGGTGATATCATATCATTAATGCGGACACAGTATCACCGTTGCATTGAATATTTTCTTGTAATGGTGACACCATGTGCCGCTTGGTTTCACCATGCAATAAAACATTTATATAAGTGGACAATGCGGGCTCCACTTGATAGTTATTTTTAAATTTGGGTGATTACCAAATAACATAGAGAGGTGATTACTAAAATATGTAAGATTCATTTGTTTACTTGTTATGCTCTTATTGGATAATGAAACTACGTGACAATGATGATGTAGTGAAACAGTTACAATCAATATTTGCCCCACACACATAGCCCCTTTTTATTCTACAAAAATTCCCAATAAATCTTATTTATTTATCAAAAAAAATCATTAAATCTTATCATAATTTTATTTATAAAATTAAGTTCTACTTTTAATAATCTATTTCCATTAAATCTTAAACTCCATAAATGACATTTACTTTTCCAATTTTATCCTTCCTATGAAAAAACAACTACATTTTTATCTCTAAGTTATTAATCAATTTATTTTTACTTTATTTGTCATTTTAAAGAAAATATCAATTATTTTGTGTCTTATTTTATAACAAATAATATTTTAAATTACTACAATTTTGTACTCTTTGGTATCTTTACAACTACACATCATTTTGAAAATAAAAATCGAGGTGAAAATTTTACTAAAACTATTTTTACAAGCATGTAAAAGTTCAATTTATTTGAACTACAACTCTTTAAATTAAATCTGAAAGAATATTTTTTCTATAGCCTATGCTATAATTCAATATATTACTATCCAGAGATGTAAAACAAAATAATAAAAACAATTAAATTAATTATAATATTATAGATAAAAATGTAACCTTGTCTTCAAAAAAAAAGATAACATTAAGTAAGACTTAATGGTACAACTAAAAATAGGATAGGACTTAACAATTTTTTCTATGAAAAAATAGGATTTATTGAGAATTTCACCTTTTATTTTTTTTTTTTATTTTTAGCAAGGCGTATCCAGATCTTTCAAGTTCACTCAATTTTTGATCACCAATCGTGTATAAATAAAGATTCACTAAAAAATTAATCTGAAAATCATGATAGATAATTTATTGTTGAATAAAATTGAGTAGGAGTGGAATAAAAGATATCAATGTGAACAAAGCATGTGAAAACCATACATTGTCAATCGTACATATCTACTTCCATCTAAGGTTGCTTAAATCTCGCCTGGGATCACATGCAACACTACTCAAGTTCCCAAGTGTCCTTGTTTTAAATTTTTATTTTTATTTAATTTATGAAAAACCCAAGTGAATCTGGTGGAGGGAAATTCGAGAGACAAGTATAATAAGTAATAGGCGACTTCAATTTTATATTGGGATTAAAGTAAGATAAGACCACACCATTGTAAGCTTGCCTAAAACACCTGTTCCTTCTTTAGTGAACATTTGTCAGATTCACCACATTTGATGGTTTGATCTGCAATTTTATAATGGGGCAGTGATTTGTTTGACTAATGTGCTTGAATGGAGTTTATAAGGGAATATTTGATCTAGGGTGACAGATTTTCTAACTAGTTATTGAGGGGTCCTTTCAAAATATATATACTAAAAGTCGTAAACACTCGATAATGTTGTGCAGAGAAAATATTGAAATAGAAAAATTATAGTGGTTAAATATGGTAAATAAGAAATTTAGGCGATCAAATGTAATTTAAGAGAAAATTATAGCAAATGCACGGGTGATTTCCTGCAATGGATTAAGATATTAACTTTTTGGGTGAGCTCGATAATTGATCCTGAAACAAGGAACAACGTCAAAAGAAGGGCCGGGGGTACACCGGGCTTATTCTCTCCGATACTTAAGTCAATCGGTGTTTAAGTATGAGAAAATGTATAGTGTAGAGCTATTCTTTATTGTGTAACTTAGTTCTGTCATAGTGGGTATTTATACCTTCTATAGCAATGAGGTGGCACCCATTTAATCTCCAATCTTAGGCTTGGTAACCTGTACCCTTTGTCTAGAGTAATAAGTGTTGTCTCGTCATAACTCATTAATGCTAAGCGATTGGACTTCTGGATTTACGTGCTAAGATTTAATTGTGCATTTATAACTCCATCTCCCGAACATCGAGTGCTCTACTCCAATGTTCAGAGTCTATCACTGATCATTTATGAGTAGGAGTAGGGATCTCTGCGGGGACCCCATGAGGGTTCCTTCCTTGCAGTCCTTGCAGTAAGGGTCATGCCTTGTCTTTTTGATGGTTAGTCTTGAATTCTCTGCGAATTAGATAACTTATGATAGCTCATCACATCGATGCGTTGCTCGAGGCTCATACATCGATGTCATTTAATACTCAGAATAGGCCAAGTAACATCCATTCACAGACCAAGCATCCTATGCTCGGTCTTGGGTACCAAGAGACCATCCCACGTGCTCTAACCACCATAGGTGGCCACGTGTCAGCTCCTAGTTGGATGGCTGCCAATGTCTTGTCAACTGCCCCCATCTTTCATTTTTATGCGTCATGGGATAGGTGTCACGTGGAGAATGGAGGCTTCCTTTGCACGCCTCTATTTTGAGAGCTGTTACTCACAAGTTTGATGCTCATTTTTTAATTCCAATTGATGACTCATGTCTTTTCGGTAACTGCTCTTATCTTCGAATAACATAAATAGTGAAGGACTCAAAAGGCGAGACACTCTTTAGACAATTTCTCTCTTCACGCCACTTGATTCCCTAAGTAGTTCTTCATCAGAGCTAGGGTAGCAGTAAAGTCTGTAATTACTCCTGTTCAATGACCCTCATCATCTTCTTTCTTTTGCTTTCCTTTACTCCCCATATAGCACCCAATGGATAGGGTACATAGAACTAGAACCCCAGGGGTCGCTGATAGACCCAAAAATATGGGAAGCTTCAGAAAACCCAAGTGACCGAGTCAATTTTAAACGACTTCAGGTACACCTACAACATCCTTGAGGATGTTTTTACCTTAAACTTTGATCTCAAGTACCATAGGGCAAATGTAGGGAGTGATGATCTTGTGCATTTTCATACCAAGGTAATCATGGAGGGAGGGGTTAGATTCACTCTTGCCCTTCTTCTTTTGAAGTTCTTGATGCACTTTAGGTACTTCCCTTACCAGTGTTATGTGAACTTGTTTAGGATAGTGATGGGTGTGGCCACTCTCAATGCCCGGTTAGGAATCAACCTTGGGGTAGACAAGATCCTTTTCTGCTGTGATATGAAGATAGCCAACAACCAGAAGTACTATCTCAATCTCAAGACCCATTGTGTACTTGGTGACGCACATGTCTGACTTGGACAAAGCTTACACTTAGGATCTCGTCATGGTTGGTGGAAGATGGGAGACGGATGATGTACCCGAATATGAGGGCCTCTATTGCCTCCAGGACATGAGGGTGTCAGGTGCATTAATTTTCACTTAGTCAACCACCTACCTCCCTTGGGAGGCACATCATGTGTTAACTGCTTGTCTTTTTTCTTTTTTGCAAAGATTTACAAGAGGGACACTGCCCAGCCACTTCGATCCTTAGTCGTCTTTGACGATATTCTAAAATTGTGGTCTTACCAACGTAAGAACACTTTTGCTCGGGTGGCTCATATTTTGCTGGGGTACAGGACCAAATATATTCACTTTTCCCAAGTTCCTAAACCTTTTGATCTATCCACCTAATTAGACCATTCTTCGAGAGAAGAAAATGAAGAAGCCAACTTACAGAATAATCCCGACCAAGACTCCAAAGCTACCTCATCTGTTTCTGCTTCCCCCACTCCTTTAGAATCTGAGATGTTTCGTTTCCCCTAAATCACCGTCGAGGGCTTGGAGGCCACCACAACGACCAAGAGGGCAGAAACCTCTAGGCCTAGTGAGCCTTCCCAAACCATAGCCCAAGCTATTCCTCAATAGCAACAACTGCGATAGTAAAAACAATAGCGGGAACAACAACAATAACAACAACACTGACCTCAGCAGCAACATCAATGAAAACAATAGTAGCAGCAATGACGTCCACCCGCGAGGCAAGTCATCCCTCCCCTAGTCAAGTTGCCTCTCAAAAAGGGCAACGTCTAAGACGTGAGGATAACCCTTTTGTTGAGTACAAGGTAAAGTGTCGTCATGACCCTTAACATTAAGCTACCCAAGCCGAGGAATGGGTCTCTCAAACAGTCACCCGAAAAGAATAATGTAGTCATGCTTACCGACTCCATCATCCACTCGACCGATGTTGCCCTGGCCATTAGTGGGTCCTCGCATTTCAGAGTTGACATGGCCATTTACCAAAATTACTCAGACAACCGTATACTTAAGGGAGTGATCCAGCATAATTTGGTTATATGTTGATGTCTTCTTTCGGTTGCTACCTCTCTATCTCCCTTTCTCTTATTCCTTAGAAAATTTTCCTTCAGGCTTTCTAGTAGATGAGGATCATCATCGACCACTTCTAGGATTATAGGACCAAAGTTGAGGCGGCACAATCCGAGCATAATAAAAGAGACCACCACATTCGAAAAGTGGAGAAAATGGTGGTTGACCAGACGAGGCATATCAGCAATCTTGTTAAACAAGCTGAAGGTTGGCCTCCGAGATGGACCAAAGCAAGGTTTCAGAAGCTAAAGTAGAGAAGAGAATGAATAAGGCTGAGCTCAAAGTTTTAGAGATGGAGTCCAAGCTAGTTGAGGCAGAAGCAAACTGTGCAGCCCAGACCTCTAAGGTCAAGGTACTGGAGAAAGCTTAGATAGATATCAAGAATAAAGAGAACGACATCCACCTCAAAGTCTTCAACTAGTGCCACGACCAGTTCATCCCAACCTTTAATGATGGTCAAAACAAGTCCTTTAAGGCAAGATAGGATAAGGCTCTTACGGCTGCAAGGTTGAATGCTAATTCTAATCTTTTTCTTATACACCCTTATGTTCCCCAGCAAGTGGGTGAAGAGGTCGAGGCTCCCCCTTGGGAAGGTCAACATGACGTGGTCATAGACGGACAATAGGGGGTTGAAGCTGAGAATGTGGTGAGGGTTAGTGTGGCTACGAATGAGCCAATCCCAATAAGTGATGGGAATTCGGGTGAAAGTGTAATGTCCCTTCTTCAGTTTCCTTCTCCTACACTTCATATCCATCTTAAAGACCCTATTGTACTAGACACCCTTGACGTCAACCCGAATCTGGGCGAGTTTAGAGAGATTGAAGACATGTTTATGATGGCAAAGGAAGGCTTGAGAGGAAGCATGGCGGTGCTCGCGGAGGGAGCAACCAAGAAGGTGGTGCCAAAAATGGAAACTTTTGTGACTCCTATGGGGATGTTTTGAACTTATACTATTTCTTTTTGGTTGGCCTTCAGACTTTTTTTATTTTCGTGTAGTTCGAAGCTTTGGGGGACTCAAAGCCCCTAACTTGTGAATGTCATTTATAGTTTTAAGTTACATCATTAATTAACCTTTTTTCATCCACGTCTACATGTTTACTCCGCTTTGTGGAGGCTTATCCACCTAATGATCAAACTCGAGGCTCATGTTCTTCTCATTCGAGGATGGCGCTTCATTTGTAAAGGCCTATTCCTCTCAGGTAGGGGTGTCAAATTTTTCCGTTAACATGAACCCAACTCGAACCGAACCCAACACGAACCTGAAAATAATACGATTAGTTGACACAAGTAATAAATGGATCAAATTAATGTTCGACACGAATAACACGATTAATAGGTATTGTAGATAGAAAATAATTATTTAACGATTACTGTAGATAGAAAATAAGAATTTTATAATTTTTTAAATAGTATTATATTAGTTGTCAAATTAAATAATTTTTTATTAACACAAATATTGACACGTACCGAAAGTGATACGACACGAAAATAACATGACCAAAAATGACACGACATAAAAATGATACAACACGACATGATTGACACCCCTACTCTCAGGGTCGTACCCCAAACGACCGAGCCCTAGGCTCGTGTTATTTTCATTCAAGGGCAGTGCTTCATTTGTTAAGCCCTATCCTTCTTGGGGTCATACCCCTAACAACTAAGTCCTAGGGTTGTGTTATTTTCATTCGAGACCGATGCTTCATTTGTGAAGACCTATCATTCTTGGGGTTATACCCTTAATGATCGAGTCGAAGGCTCGTATTATTTTCATTCGAGGGTGGTGTTTCATTTTTGAATGTCTATCCCTCTTAGGGTTGTAACCCTAACAACCAGCACTAGGCTTGTGTTATTTTCATTCGAGGGCGGGGCTTCATTTGTAAAGGCTTATCCCACTCGGGGTCGTATTCCTAATGACCGAGCCCTAGGTTCATGTTTTTTTATAGCAACATCTGTCGTATCAGACAAGACTCATTAATAATAATACTTGCTCAAATTTGATACATTCCAAGGTCAGATGACAGCTTTTCCCTCCGTGTTCTTAAGTCTATAAAACCTTGTGCCTCCCACCATGGTAACTTTGTATGGGGCCAAGTTTCTCATCGATTGGTTCCTGAGTGCCCCTTACCACTTTTTGGAGCACTAGGTCCCCCATCTGGAAGCCTCTTAATTAGACTTTCTTTTGATGTTTCCTTGATAGTTCCCCTTGGTACATTGCTAATCGAATAGCCACTAGCTCCCTATTTTCCTTGGCCAAGTCAAGATCCCTTGCTAGAGTCTGGCCACTCTCCCCTGACTCGAAGGCTTGGCTCTATATAGTCGAGAGTCCCACCTCTAGGGGAATAATTGCCTCCACCCAGTAGGTCATGGCGTAGGGAGTATCCCCCGTAAAGGTTCGTTGGGGTAGTTCTATATACCTATAAGACGTTGAGTAGCTCATCGGTCCATCTGTCATTTTCCCGTTCTTTGATTCCTGCCAACATCGTTTGATTGGAGACCTCAGCCTATCCATTGTAATGCAGGTACATCAGAGTCGAGTAATAGTTTCGTATCCCAAATTTTGAGCAAAATTGCTTGAATGGACTGCTATTGAATTGGGTGTCGTTGTTTGACACGAGGGCCCGTAAAAATCTCAAATTGAGTGATAAAATTTTGCCACACGAACTTCTTAGAGTCGACGTCCCGTATGTGACTTAAAGGTTCGGCTTCAATCCATATCGTAAAGTAGTTTTTCGCTACGAGGAGGAATTTCTTGTTCAATGCCACTCTTGGCAATAGGCTGACTATGTCCATTCCCAATTAAGAAAAGGGCCAAGAACTTGTCAGAGGGTTAAGGTCACCAACTGGTTGGTGAATGATAGGAGCGAACATCTGAAACTAGTCACATTTTTTAACATACATTTTGGCGTCCCTCCGCGTATATGGCCACCAGTACGCCGATGACATAGCCTGGTGGGCGAGGGATCGACCACTAGTGTGGCTTTCGTATATCCCCTATTGAATTTCGTATAAGAGCAACTAGACTTTGTTTTTAGGGAAGCACAATAAGTAAGGTCCCGAGAAGGATCTTTGGTATAACTTTTCATTAGGGGAAACCCAGAATCTTGGAGCCTTGAGTTTCATTCTCCTGGTTTCCTTGGCGTCTTCTGGGAGCACCCTAACTAAAAAGTATTTGATCACGAGATCCATCCAACTAGAGGGTATACACTGGATACTAATGGGGAGTATGGTGTTTGAATTGGTTATACTCGGGTTTGACATGTATGCCACTGTTATCTTCCGAGTGATTTTAGATTCCAAGGTTGAGGCCAGACAAGCCAATGTGTCGCATGGCTATTACGGTCTCTAGAAATCTAGGATACCTTGATAACCTTGAATCCTCTCATCCGAGACTTCGCCCTTTGATGGTATGCCTTCATCCTAGTATCTTGAGATTCGACGTCCCCATTAACTTGATTAACAACGAACTAGGAGTCACAGATAACATTAAGTTTTTTTATCTTAAAGTCGAATTCCAATGTCGAGTCCCAATGTCAACACTTCGTATTCAACTTCATTGTTGGATGTTTTGAATCCAACCCGAATGGCTCATTCTATCATGATTCCTTCAAAGTTAGCTAGGACTATGCCTACTCCCACCCCTTATGTTCGAGGACTTGTCAACATGTAAATTCCGAGTGCCCCCGATATGTGTGGTTCTATATAGATCTCATCTAGAGGGTGTTTAGGAGTAGAGAATTCAACTATAAAATCAGCTAATACCTGTCCTTTGACAAAAGTGCGTGGCTTATGTCGTATTTCAAATTCCCCAAGTTCAATGAACCATTTGGAGGCTCTCCCTGATATATCTACCTTCCAAAGGATAGCCTTCAGGGGGTTGATTGATGAGGACCTCTATAAGGTAGGCTTGGAAGTAATGTTTCAACTTCCTTGCTGATGTGACTAACACTAGTATGATTTTCTCCATTGGCAAGTATCTCGTTTCAGCGTGAAGAAAGGTCTTGCTGACAAAATATATCGGCTTCTGTCCGGATTCAAGCTCCCTCACAAGCACTCCACTGATCGTGCAACCTAAAACCAACAAGTAAATGCTCAGGACATCACATGGGTCGAGTACTGAGAGGGTTGGGATGACTTAAGTACACCTTGATACCTTCCAAAGCCCGATCACAATCATCATTCCAGGTGTCTTTCCCGCCCTCTTTAGTATAAAGAAGAAGGTCTGCACTTGTTTGAGGATTTAGAGATGAAACGATTGAGGGCCGCCAGCATCCCGATGAGTCTTTGAATGTCTTTGGAGGTCTGCGGCCTCTGTATCTGCAACACTGCTTGAATTTGATCAGGATTAGAATCAATTACATGGTGAGTAAGTAGGTAGCCTAGGAAATTCCCTAAGCCTACCCTAAATGCTCATTTGGAGGCATTCAACTTTAGATCATATTTCCTGAGCATATTGAAAGTGGTTCCAAGGTTCCTCAATTGATCAGCTCGGAGTCGATTTTTCACTAGCATGTTGTCAATATAGACTTCCATTGTGATGTCGAGTTGGCTCTAGAACATCTTGTCCATTAGCCATTCAAACATGGAACTAGCATTCTTTAGGCCAAACGACATCATCTAGTAGCAGTAAATCCCTCGGGGCGTTATGAAGACCTTCTTTTCTTGGTCAGCTTCATATAGCGGGATTTGATGGTATCTTATTCGGGTGTCCATGAAAGTGATGCGTTCATGCCCCATGGTCGCGTCCACCAACTGATCAACCTTAGGAAAGGGATAATCTTCTTTGGGACATGCTTTGTTAAGATCAATGAAATTGACGCACACTCGCCATTTTCCATTTTTTATATTTATTCTTAACACAAACAGTATTAGAAAACCACTCGAGGAATTGGACCTCCTTAATGAATCCCACCTCGAGCAACCAGTCTACTTTTTTGTCGATTGCCTGAACATGGTGAGCTCGATGATTGATCTTGAAGTAGGGAACAACGTTAGAAAATGGGTCGGGGGTACACTCTGCTTGTCATCTCCGATGCTTAAATCAGTCAGTTCTTAAGTATGAGATAATGTACATTGTAGAGATATTCTTGTTTGTGTGCCTTAGTTCTGTCTCAGTGAGGTATTTATACCTTCCATAGCAATGAAGTGGCACTATTCAATCTCCAATTCTAGGCTTCATAGCTTATACCCTCTATCTAGAGTAATAAGTGTTATCTTGTCATAACTCATTAACACCAAGTGATTAGACATCCAAGTTTTATGTGTTGAGATTTGATTGTGCATTTATTACTCGATCTCCCGAACATCAAGTGTTTTATTCCAATGTTCTGAGTCTATCACCGATATTTATGAGTAAGAGCAAAGATCTCTACATGGACTCCCCTAGGGTTCCTTCCCTGTAGTAAGGGTCATGTTTTATTCTTTTGATGGTTAGTGTTGAGTTCTATGCGAATTAGAAAGCTAATGATAGCTCATCACATCAATGCGTTACTCGAGGCTCTCGGAATAGACCGAGTAGACATCTCTTCGCAAACCAAGCATCATATGCTCGGTCTTGGCCTAAGCATCCTATGCTCGGTCTTGACTATTGGGAGAACATCTCATCAACAAATAATTATAAGTCTTAATATAAAAAAAAATATATATATATATATATGTAAATACAGTTAAATATAATGAGAAAAACAGTATAATGAAAAAGACAGTTTGATGATTATAAAAAATTTTGAATGTTGTGGTCATGGAATGGATGGATACCAAAATCATCCCCTCACTTAATTCATAATATAGGTATATTATTAAAAAAATTAATTATAATACATTTATAGCAAATATTATTGTCGCATAAGAGCATCTCCAAGAGAATAGTTAAAACTTCAAAATAGTTAAAATTTAGTTATTCAAAGACAAAAAATATGTTCCAACAGAAAATGTTCAAAGTATGTAAAATGCATTTTTGCTAATATTTAGAGCTATGAAGTACGAATATGAATATAGGATACGGGTACGATACGATACGAATATAGTGATACGATAAAGTTTAAAAAAATAGGATACGAGTACGATCAGGATACGGCTATAATAAAATATTTTTAATATTTTAAACTACTTAAACTTATATATTTTAATAGTTCTTTAACGTATAATAAAGAAAATTAGTAATTCTTTTTAGTTTCACTAAAATATATATCGTGTTGTTGTGGTATATTCACAAAGTGAAATGACTAATTAAATAAATTAAAACTAATATTTATCTAGTATTTAAAAGTAATTTTTGTTAAGATTATAATGAAATAGCTTTACTCTATGGTTTTTTGACATATAATTGTAGATAATACTTAAAAAATACTCATTTGCCTTTGAAATAATATAAAATGTTTGTTAATATATTGTATGATATGTGAATTCGAAACGAGATGTTAAAAGCTCAACTAAAAAATTATATATGTTGTTCTACTATAAAAATATTTGTGAAGTATCATAATATTTAATTATTATCAAATACGTAGAAGGTATATCTGATACGTATTCTCAAATATCCGACAAATATTGTATTCGATACGGGTACGTCAAACTCAACGAAATATTCATACTTCATAGATTTAGAGTATCACTACAATATTATGTATAAATAGTTTATAATATATTTTCTCTCCTCTTGTCATTTTTTACCTCTTTTGTCTACTTTTAGTTTTTCTCTCCATTTTTTCTTTCTTTCCCTGTAATAGTCTCAGCAAAGGTACAAAATATAAGATATTTTAAAAAAATACTTAAAATAAAAAAAAATCTGTTTGAATATGTAATAAAAAAGTGAAAAATAAAATAGAAAAAATAAACTTTTGAATAACTAAAATACAAAATTTTGTTAAAAATGCCCTAAGATAAGAGTCGGAGGTATGCATAATGCTATTCGAGTCGGAGTTAGCACCTTGCTCTTTGGACAGTCGTCCGTAATATCATAAGAATGCATTCGGTAATAACTTAGGAGATGATGAGCAATTGAACTCAAGTACAGACAGAGAACATTTTTATTAGCCCTAATTATCCATGTATAAATAATGTTAATTTTTAAGAGAATAGTTGTGTAAACTTAAAAAACTTATTCAAAAAAAAAAGTCAAAAACTTGTCCAAACGCACCCGCTAAAAATGTGACCAGACACATACAATCCCTTGTCGCTATCCTTTGTCCCAATCCATTGTCCTTGTCGTTTACTAGATTCAACAATAATAAACACCAAAAACAAGCCCCAACCAGGCCACCATTGATCCATGATAATACCTCCACCTCTCCTCCCCATCATCCTCCTCCTCCTTCTAGATTAATACCAAAGCCTCCAACCCCAATCTCAACTTTACCCGTTTCTCTTTAATCCCACTACTCTCTCTCTCTCTCTCTCTCTCTCTCTCTCTCACCACACACTCACACACGCCAAAGCAAAAGTTTACCCAGAAGCCACTCCTTTCTGCCTCTTTAACCTCCAATTTTCAACTCCTTATCCTACCATTTCTATTCCCCCTCTCTTAGATCATCTTGTTCATCAGCCCCACCAAAGAAAACCCACCCCCTACCTCACCCTTTTCTTCAATCCATTGAACCCATCCCACCCCATTTTCTTCTCTAAATCCCTCACTTTCCCAAGAAAATACCATCAAAAACCAGATCAACATATCAACAAAACCCTCATCTCACACATAATTTCAAAACATTTTGCCATGTCGAACACACCATTTGTTGTATCATTCGCGCTCTTGCTCTCATTACCACTCCTCTTCCTCTTCGCCCCACGAATCCTCCCTCCAAAACACGTCCAGGTCTCTCTACCGGACGAACTCGACGACCTCGCGCTCTTCCGCCGAGCCACACTCGCCTCTCTCCACCCTCCAGGCTCGATCTCTCGCCTTAGCACCACCAACCCAAAGCCCAAAATCGCGTTCCTCTTCCTCACCAATACAGACCTCCACTTCGCACCACTCTGGGAACTCTTCTTCAAAGGCCACAAAGACTATTACAACATCTACATTCACGCCGACCCTAAATCCAAAATCAACCCACCCGGTGGCGTTTTCAAAACCCGCTTCATCGCCGCCAAGAAGACCGAACGCGCCTCCCCAACCCTGATCTCCGCCGCTCGCCGCCTCCTCGCCACCGCCCTCCTAGACGACACGTTCAACTCCTACTTCGCCCTTGTATCCCAACACTGCATCCCATTGCATTCTTTCAACTATGTTTACAATTCCATCTTCAAACCACCAAATACTGAGTCAAGTCGGTACCCAACTCTATACCCACATCGGAGCTTCATCGAAATACTATCCGATGAGCCCCAATTACCTGACCGGTACACGGCGAGAGGGAAGAATTTGATGCTGCCTGAGATCCCATTTGAGAAGTTCCGCATTGGATCGCAGTTTTTTGTTTTGACTCGGGCTCACTCGTTGATGGTGATAAAGGATAGGAGGCTATGGAGGAAGTTTAGACTGCCTTGTTTGAACGCTGACTCGTGTTACCCGGAAGAGCATTATTTTCCGACCCTTTTGTCGATGGAGGATCCGGATGGGTGTACTCAATACACTCTTACTCGGGTCAATTGGAACGGTAGCACGGATGGGCACCCGCATACTTATCGGCCGATGGAGCTCTCACCGGAGCTTATTAACCAGCTCAGGACATCAAATTCTACGTATTCGTATTTGTTTGCACGTAAATTCTCGTCGGATTGCTTGAAACCATTGTTGGATATGGCGGAGAAAGTGATTTTCCGGGACTAAAGCGGGCCGGGTAAGCTAACATCCCTTTTACCCATTTTGTTGTGCTGAATTTTGTTACTCTGCATTGCCATAGTTTGGAACGACTGAGTTGACTCGGATTGTCTGTTAAGCACTAGAGTCAGAGTCAACTCTGTTGATACACCTGGTAATTATGATGTTATTTTTGGTTATAAACTGTTGCAAAGTCTTCCGATACGTTGCCCTAAAATGCGTTTAGTGGAATCTAGAAGCTATTATGGAACTTTTTCAATCTTATTAAGAGGTGTCAAAATTTGATAGGCAGAGTATCCATTTTTGGTGGGGAATCATTGAATGTTCCATTTGTTACCCCAAAATTTTTGAATTTACAACAACCCATCAATCTCTATACCCACTGTCACTAGTTTTTTGTAAATTTTTTCAAATATTTAGGTCATTGTATATCCATGTTTTTACAATCTTTTGGATCGAATTCAAGATTAGATTACTCCCTGTGTATCCTAACGACAAGAGTAATGATATTTATAGCTAAAAATCTGATCTAATTTACTTACATAATAACGTGATTTAATAGAAATTATTGGATCAACATCAAGTTCTAATGATTGATGAGGTCTATAGTCAATTCAAAGATCACGGGGTATTAAGTTAATAAATTATGTTAAATTTTTATATCCCAATAACATTGCTCGAATGACAATTGACCGTGACTGATATTAAAAGACATGTTGAAAATGATTCACATCAGATCCATGTTGATGTCTATAAGGTTTTATCTTGAACATCTTACCTTAGGGTGAGGATTTCAAATCTCCAACCACGAAGGCAGGATCTATTTATAGTTTTATACCAGTATCGATCCCCCTTTGGCTTGATTTGAATTTGATTCATTACTTATGCCCCAAACTATGCATCTGCTTTTTTTTTTGTTTCTTTTTCAAAGGCTTAGGCTTTGATCTGATTGCTCAGCAGTCCCTACATATTTAATGGCCTAGGCTTACTTTTGGCTAATAAAGTTTCATTTTGGCTCAGAGTAGGGCTACCCGAAGATGCCCCTCCCCATCTATTCAAAGATGGCCCCTCTCCTCATACACACGTCCCTTGGGAGTAGTAGGATTTGGCACACCATACCTACCAAAGTTAGGTATGGCTAGTGATCAACCCATTTAGAGTAGAACAAAACTCAATTGAGGTCTCTACAATAGCTGATTTAGACATTTTTTGGAAATTAAATTTTAGATGGTAGAGTCTACATTAAATGTTCAACCTTTTTTTACCAAACTACACATAGTTTTAGTAAAATCGATAGTTTCTTGTGATTGGAAGTATGTGCATGGTTTACTCCAAGAAGTTTAATAGCCAAAAAACCAAACATTGAGTTGTTTTGACTATTATATGCTTTGAGTGGGAAGATCCATAAAGATTTTCCCACATCACGAGACTTATCGGATGTGTCATATATACATGAAAGGACTTAAAAATTTATTATAAGTCTCTTTTGTAATAGACAGACTTATATATATAAATATACTGTTGAGCATTGACATATATGAGCTCGAAACTTAATTAAATTAAATCATATCGATAAGAGTGACACGGTCACGGTCACGGTCACGGTCGCGGTCGGTAGATAGTCACCCTTTGGTGGATTTGTTAATGCTTATATGCTACCACTTTTTTGCCATTTTTAATACCAAGTCGTCTTTAGATTGGCTTGTACATGTCATGTCATAATAGTCAAAAAGGCTATTGACTAAACTATGAAAATAATGTTTTTTTTCTTCTACTTGTCACGAGCACGCGAGAATCCAGAATCCATTCATAATCTAGATCTGATGTAGCAGAAAAACGGTGTCGTACTCACGTGATATTATTTTAATTTGTATGTTCAGGTTGAGTGGGAATCTCTCATTTTCGTGGAACTGGAGAAAGTAAGATGGTGTCAGAGCTGTGGGGAATATGGGCCAAGGCCCAAGCATTAGAGCAGGCCAGCCCAGCAATATGAAGTCCAATAAAGTCTGTATATATAGTCGTGGACAGGACCCACCTTTGAGGTTTGTAATATGTATGTGCAAGACAAGAGTGTGTGATGTGAGTGGCGGTTTGGGCATAGAGTGGAAGTGGGGGAAAAAAAAGGCATAGTAGCAAAGGCTCAATGCTTTTTCCCATTCTTTTTTTTATGTTGAAATATAAAAAAGAATATCCCATTTGCTTTTTCCGCCAATCTTTATCTATGTATTTACCATATTTTCGATCTTGTATGTGGATAATAATATTAATGTGGTTTAGCCACCGAAATCAGAAATTCATCGACTCGTTGAACGAATGATATTTGTCAAATAATGTAATAGATGGTATGCTAATGATCTTGTGTGTATCGGTTTTTTTTTATTGTAGTAAAACAAATCGTAAGATACAATTAAAAATGATACAATTCGTAAATAAGTATCGTCCATTGATTAAATCGAAATAGATTATAAAATACGTATTGGGTATCAGACATTTTATCATGCTTGAACGAATAAATTTCTTGTAAGCTATGATTGTGTAGCTCTGGAAGTAACTTGAATTGAAATGCCTGTGGAGTAAATGACCTTGCAACTTTAAGGAAACATAAAATAAAGTGATTTGAGAGAGATACCTATGAGGTCAACCATGCTGATGCTCATGTGTCCAATTTGAATCACCAACCATAAAATCATTGGACCCATTTGTGAGTCACAACCATGGCTCTACGGGAATCAATCGAGTCATATCATATCATTTGAGATCATATCATTTTGGATCATAAAATGTATAGATAATATTCACGTATTATTAGAACACTATTTTCTTTCAACCAAATCAACTACATATGAGTCATGGTCAATTGAGAAACTACTTTATCCACATCCCGACAAAAAAAATAAGCCATATTTTCTCATAATATTGTTTCAAGTGGTTTGCCGTGCCAAAATCAAATCAAACGTATTTGATATTAATGTGACAATTAAAAATCTAGTCGTTCAATAGTCTAAGAGAACTTACGACTGGTTGAGAAGAAAGAAAAAGGTTATTAAAGTATCTAGTCCATTTACATGTCCCACCACATCTGGGTAAAAAAATGCAATCGTGGTATGTATGCGAATTCATCATCTAAACTGTTGTGATTTGTTTTAGGACCAGGAGGGGTTGGATATCCCTAAGACAAATAATATATCAAGTTTGGTAACAGGTGATATTAGAACGGACTTATCTTGTAACGGTGAGACTTGACAAAGAGGCATGCCTGGACAGATCATAATGGAGGAGACGTAATTGAATAGGCCCCACGTAGGTACAGGTTAAGATGGTTTCTAATTTTCTATAGCATTTCTCTTTTCTATATGGGAACAGACTTAGGTGAATCCCATTACATGACGGATTTGAGGAGCTTGGGCGAATCCCAGTCGGTTACATATGGCCCCTTTTTTCTTTTTTCTTTTTTTGTTTTGTTCCTTTTACAAGGTATCTAAGCTTGCGTTGACTACTTCATCGAGTTGTGTGATCGATCACCATAATTCAAGTTAATTTGAGAATTTATCTACCGAAAAGTATCAAATTTAAGACCCTTTACTTATAAAAGAACAGACTTGACCGGTAGATATATGACCCTTTAGGTGATAGAATGTTTATTACACCTAAAAATAGTGAGATCTATGGGTGACACATGGAAAAGATCCAACGGTCCTAAAGAGGTCTATGAGAGTCCACGATTGACAGAACGGTTAAAAGAGTAGGACTCTTAGAATCTCAAGAAAAATAGCATCATGAGCGGACAAATGGAGTCGGTTCAGCGCACGTCCACCCATCTCAAGGGACAAGCCAATAATCACAGTAATGGCCAGAAAAGATGGGTCAATGATTGAAGGCTATCTTTATAAATAACAAAGACTAGACCACTAAAAATGATTCACGATTGATAAGGGTAAAATTCTAGGCATGGGCCACCAATGAGCTCGAAGCCCAAAAAAACCAAGAGGAACTGGAGGAAAGTCCGGTGGCTCAATATGAAGCGCCTCTGATTAACCCATGACAAAGAGCTGAAAGGGAGAGGCCCAACGGGCACCTGAGGGGCAGTGGCCTAGTCCCGGCCCAATCAAGTGTCATCTAAAGAACAATCCAAAGAGAAGGAATCGGATCTCTGCCTTGAAGTCATCCCACCGTGCCACGCATCCAGAGGACAAGGGGGTCATCTCTGAAACCTGCGATAGTTACATCCTCCAACACGCAGAAGATGGTGGAGCATAACACCCCAGAGATCATGGGTGCAGTGACGCCGGCTGGAAAAGTCTTTTGCAAGCCAATTATAGGAGGTCCCCACAGGATCGATAAAAGGTAGAAGAAACTGTCATAAACCACAAAGAGAGACGACTCATATATAAATAGAACAATGCCCTACAAAAAGGGCATCTCCGAAGAACATTTATCAACCGTGTTCATTCTATAAACTAAACATCAATCCCTGTAAAGGCCCAGTGCCTGAATCCCGTCTATATACATCGGAGCTTTAATATACAACATTAAGGGGCAAGAGGCTCCATTACAATGGATGTACCCTTGGCCAATCGACTAAGGCGAACCACTTATCTTCTTCGTTTTCTCTTTGATTAAATAACTCAATCTACCAAACCTACTCTAACATCGGACCCAATAACTTCTCACGCGTTGGGCTTGGGCTGTGATTTCCGAGACCCCATCAGTTGGCGCCGTCTGTGGGAAACATCATCATCGTTTTCCTACTTGAATTTTTATTTACTTGATGGTTTCAACTCGAAACATGAGTAATGCTCCTGCCAACCCTCAAGCCCACCAAAGCTTGACCAACAAAAGCAATATAGTCAGCGATGGATTTGAGTTGCTGGAGATAAATACTCATGGCAAGATCACCCTTGGGATGGTGATAAAATTGCATTTTCAATTGTAGAACACGGGAATGGACTTGATCATGAAATAATTGCTCAATGGTGAGCCAGGCTTCATGAGCAAGCGGAGTAAAATTTGGTTTGATGATAGCATGAAGAATGTCAGAGGAAACGGTGGCTACAATCCATGAAGGAACCATGAAATCAACCTGCAACCATGATTTGTATACTGGATTATGAATCTAGTTATTGGAATCATTAGTTAAAAAGGGTGAAGGACTGGGATAAGAGCCATCAATGTGATTATAAACATCATGGCTTTAAAGAAGAGGAAGAAAAAGTTCATGTGAAAGTAAGTAGTTGGAAAAATTCAACACAATATAAATATAATTTTTGATGTTGGAAATGGATTAGGCAGGGTGAGGAGAGGAAACAAATAACATGGCAGTAGTACATGTGATTGAAAGGAGAGTAGAAGGGGAAGAAGAAGACATGGTAAAATATAAAGAGATGAAGAAATATAAAATACATTGTGGAATTACAGAACTATCTCTAACGTATAACACAAGTGATATATGTCTAATAAGTTGAAATGACATCGCAGTTTTTATTAACAACTGCCATGCCAGCCTACATCTTTGATTGACAGATTGTTGGCGGTTCCTCCAATTCAACACCTGACCTAATAAACGCCCACAACTGATCCCTCATGATCAGGTCATGACTAACAACAACCCACAACTGCTTCCCATGATTAAGCCATGCTCAGAAACTGTCCTTAATTGCCTGGTTCAACGCATTGAGCATAATTGTCTATCCATGTGCCTGTAATTAAGCAATCAAGCCTGGCCCATAAACCAATCAACTATGTTGAGCTAAGCTCAAGCCATGCCTTGTAAAGCCATGTACCAACATTGTCTCAATTATACCCACTACGTACTATCATCCTCAGCCTTGTGGGCTTTCGTGGCTACGAGTCCCATAGCTTTGGTCCTATCATCATCTCATAATCCCCTTGTCACCTTGATGCATGCCTTGCCCAATGGTGTCAAGGCTTGGGGGCATAAGACTTATCGGGTCCTTGGTGCCCATCAACTACTACCACCTCCTATATATGCATTTAGAAGGTTTTTCAAAATGACATGAACGCCATCAGCTAAACTGAAGAAGCATAATGACTAGAGCCTAAGTTATAGTGTCCAAAACTTTTATTGGACACCTTGCTTCAAAGTCATGAAATGCCTTGGTGTAAGGTGCTGCCAAAGTACATTCATTTCTTCCAATATCAATTACAGTCTAACAATCTATATATGTACTACTATAAAATATCAACAAAAGTGAAAATTTTTGTTTAACTAAAATAACCTTGATAACTTGATTAATGCCCATATTATCTTTTTCATTTAATGACAAACAATAATAGACACTATTGGACTTCTGGCTATTAAGTTATTATTGTACTAGTCATAACCCGTACTTGAAGGTGCGATAAAATATAAAATTCAAGCATTCAAAAAATTGATCCCATTATATTAATTTTTTTTAAAATATATTAACTACAAATTAATCAAATATTAAATGATTAAATATGTGATATAAATGAGTGATGTGATATTTTTAGGAAAGAAATATATAAATGATTAAATATATGATAGAAATAAGTGATGCGATTTAACATTTGAGTCTGACAAATAAATGATAGGTGAGGTAAGTGATTGGTGATGGTTTTGAGGGAGAAAATATGATTGGGATAAAATTCAAACACATTATTGTTTTATTAAATAGATTTTCCATAAATACTACATATATTTTATAAGCCAAGCAAGAGTTAAAAAAGTTCATCGGTCACTCATAATGTTGCACCTCCAATTCATATAATCCAAAGTTTAGTTTTCTTTAGGTTTTTGCTATATAAAATTCATTTGTTCAGTATTAGTAGTTTTCTCCCTCTTAATTTCGTATTCGTCATATCTCTCATATTATTGTACTTGCTCGAACCCTAGGTTTATGGGTTTTTTTTATTGTGGTCATTAAATTTTACTTTTTTTTTTGCTTATATGTTTTATGGTTGTAGGTTCTAAATTTCTATGTTTCTTGTAAGGGATATACATTTTTTATCAAAAAAGTACATTGTTTTATTCATCATTAACGAAAGAACATATTTGTATTACCTTTGTAATCATCAGTTTCTATTTGCATTCATGTGATTTATACCTCAATGATTTTGTGATTGGTTATTTTTATTAGTCTAATTAATTTTGATTGCTTGTTGTAGGTTTGTTGGCAATAATTTAAGGAAAATAAAAGCTTTGTGAAATTGTCGTGGGTTTCAAATATGATGTGAAATTTGATTGCATGTTGTTTGATTGTTGAGAATTAATATAACTATGAAAATTAAGAGATTTGATAGAAAATTTGTCATTATGACTATCTGTGTTATTGTATTTGACACTTTTTTAATCGAATATATGTTTGTGTAATAAGTA